GTACCGTACCTCCTCCTCTCTCTCTCTCTCTCTCTCTCTCTCTCTCTCTCTCTCTCTCTCTCTTTCTCTCGCTAGGACTGTGGAAGTATTCTGGACTAGAAACGGGACGAAACGCAGAAAAAGAGAGAGAAGATGGAGCCGGGGTGGTCCGGAGAGAATACGGGCGATCGCGAAACAGAGCGAGAGCAGAGTGATCAATACGCATTCACACGCGGTGTCTCGCGTTCCCCGTTTCCATGGGAACTGACGCCCACGCATGCGTCGGTCCAGCGATGCTGCTGTATCAACGAGATCGTTTGGAGGTCCGAATCAGTCTCGCGCCGACCGTGTGCGAGACGCTGCCGTTGCCGATCGGTGACAGAGATCGGCGAAAGCATAGAAATAGATCACTTTGTGTTATCTCGAGACGATACGATGGATTATCGCAGCTCTCGAAATACGTTTTTGTATTTCGCAATTTTCTGTAACCTGATTTCATAATTTGACGAAGCATTTTGTTGACAGAATGTTGAAAAGGAGCAGGATATGAAGAATCCACATAGAATAATAGAGAAATCTTACTTTCATGTAGCAATAAAAGATATTTAAAGAAACCACAAATTTTATATAATTTAATATAATTTTCTTCATAAATGAAACATGACACTACATAAAGAATAACAGAGAAATTTCATGTGTCAACAAAATATATTCAAAAGAAACAACAAGTTTGATATTTTATATTTTATTATATTATATTTTATGATATTTTAATTCTATATTTTATTTGAATTTAATTATATTTTTTATTTTAATTTTCCTCACAGAGATGAACTAACGGCTCTTCCAGCGTTATAAAAACGGAGTACTATGGGAGGAAATGTTCAGCATCAATCGTTGCATCAATCTAGAGCTACTCTGGGAACGATCGACCTGTCCGGAGTCTAAAGCACGATCAAGCGAACCGTATAGGATTGTTCCCCCGGTGACGGTCATTCTGGTCTCTCTATCGTCGTCATTCGGGGGGGTTCAGCCGCGGCGTCCATCCGATGTACGTTCAACCCCTCTCGCCCTGCGCTCGGTCACCCTTCCTTTCGCTACGCGAGGGATCGCTGGCGACAAAGGGGAAGGGGATCGCTCGCGACGGCGCGCCTGCGTCGAGTCCCCAATGACGACTTGGCTAGGTAGGTGCTCGACCCGGACGCAGTTGGAAGAAAACAAGCGGTAGGCAGCCTGTCGTTCCCGCGTAGCGTGGACTATTCCCGTGGATCGAGTTTCGGCGAGTGAAAGAAAGAGAGAGAGAGAGAGAGAGAACCGGCGCGGCGAAAACCAGGGGAGCTAACCAGTCGAGAATCGCGGCGCGTTTATCCCGATAATCATGGTACAAAAGTGAAGGTTCACTTGGTGGTCGCTCGGAGGGTGGTGCGGCTGAACCGAACGATGGTGACGAGAGGCTCGAGCGCGGAGCGAATATAATAGCGACGAAAAAAAAAAGCTGACGTTCGATAACACGGCGCGCGGTAAGGTTCGTTGAACCCTTTTCTGGAGCTAAATGCTGATGCGGCTGATGTGACTCGGATGCGCTCGAGAGAGCGTGTTGGCTCACCGCTGCGGAGGATGATGACGCGCGTCGGCTGATTACGCGCGGATTCTGTGTTGCATGCGTCGAATCGGCGCCGACCACCGCGCGCGAGCATCGCGTTATCGTCGCGTTGTGATATTCTGGAACTGGAACGTCTCCCTCTTCTGGTCTCTCTAAAAATCGTCTTTAAGAATCTCTGTCCGGTGTGTTCGCACGTCCTGCGTGCGTCGTGTTGTCTCCGGTGCGGCTGAATGTGGCGCCGAGAAAGATCACGACGGATGCACGTTTGAGGAGAAGAGGGTGGATGGGAGGGGGGGGAGGGTGGTGGTCGGTTTTTGTGTGGTGCAGTGTGTTTGGCAGCTCTTAAATCCTCGATTGCATGTGGGTCACGAGTTGTATTCGCCGCAGCTAATGAGACAGAAGGTTCCGAGTTAAGAGGTAAGCCCGTTAACTGACGTTGCTGATGGGACAAGTTGCTGATGCAAAAGCGACTCGAAGAGTGAGATGGATTAGGATTAATGTATAAAAAAAAGAAACTTTACGCGCGAGCTAATTAATCTTATTAACAGAAAAGAAGCTAATTAGAAAAAAAGTTAATCAGCTCAAAATTATAAATTTCCAATTTAATTCTTTAATAAAAAAATATAAAATTATAAAAATAATAATCGCATTTAATAAAATTCGAAACAATTTTTTAAATATTCCAAATTTATTCTATACTCTACAAATTCATTGTATTTTTAAGAAAATACCTTCGAGAAACTTTATTGGCCGAAGGGGATACACTAATCAATTTTGAATTAATTTTTAATTAATTTTAGGTAAAACGATTGATAAATTTTAGGTAAAACGATTGATTTAATAGTCAAATTACAGTTTGTTTCAAACAATTACTTTTTTGAATAAAAATGTGTGTTCTTTTTAATCGTATACTGATTACATAAATCAGATATTAGCGATGAACAATTTTAATAAGAAAAAAAATCATTGTATATAGTTTCAAATTTTCATTAGAGAAGTAAAAGTCACGTGGCTATAGTAGATGCCTGTAATTTATCATGTCCTTAACCTCATGTAGAAAATCAATGTTCTTCATATACCTCTCATCAAATACTGTATGTTCTCTACAATATTATTATATGCAGTTTAAGTAACTGTACTTAGAGCAATAAATGAAATAAACAAGGGACTCCTAATTCCTTGGAACTCTCTTCTCTTTTCGCATAGAAAGAAATGTAACGTTCTACTAAAAAAATTTATTTTAATAAACACAAAATAACGAATACAATGAATATACAATTTGTTTTTATACAAGAGTCATTTTTACATATTAATGAAATTACAACATAGTCATTTCTATATAATTTTTATAGAAACTCGCTACTTGAAATTTAAATAAAGCACTAACAGATGAACGTCCCTTAGGATATGCAACGGATTAGAGGATGTTCTTTCCCGCACAAAGGGATCGGTAATGAGAACTACCGCAGTGTTTGCACAAGAATCGCGCTTCTTTTACCCGTGGTCCTTCGTGGGTTGCCAGTAACGCAGGGGTGTTCGCCCTGTCAAATTGTTTAAAGAGAACGAAAGAGTTTATGTTAAATTCTCAAAGTAAATTCGAAGTCGCGGAGAAAAATGCTGGTAACAAAATTTCGGGAGCTACGGGAGTTTAAATAATTAACAAACTTAAATTAAAGACCTTCTGGATTATATGACGTTTTATATTGCAAAGCATATTGCAAAAAAAATAAGATAGATCTTTTACATATTTTCCTATATTAATGCGCATATTAAATTTTCTTTTTACAATTAATTCGCATCTATTGGGATTCTCCTACAATTGCTACAATTGCGTTTCTTCTCGTCTCTCTCTCTCGGAATAAAAAAATTCGTGGTATCGACCGGCCGCCGACTTCATCTCCACGATATTCGATGCGCAAAGGCCCGACTAGATTTCGATCTCCCCGGCTCTCCCCCTGCCAGCCTCCTTAACTTAAATCTCACGAGGGTAACGGAAGGTCGGAAAGGGAGCAAGTCGTGCGTCTTCCGTGCTGCTGCTATCCGCGCGGTTCTTGAATCTGAGCTGTTCTCTTCGCGGCTACGGCATTGTTCCCTCGTCAGAGATGATAGGACAATTCTCAATTGTGTGCGGTGACAATGCGTCTGACGAGAGACGCGTTCCTTCGGTGACAATTGTCGATATTTCCAGATATTTACTGGTGTTTACTTAGCCTTCCAAGATAGTTTCGCAAAGTAGGTAGGTTGAGGATATTTTAAATTTATGGAAACATCAGAACATTTATATTAACGTTACATCAGATGTAACTCTATTTGTGTACCTTTAATCACTTAATGTGCCGCATAATTTTCATTTAATTCGCGATAAAGGTCAGATAGTCGTATTTAGAAGCAATTCCGGAGTAGCGTCGCGGATTAAAAATCGTGGTCTTCATTTCTCTTCTTCGCCCTCGTTTCGCATTTAGTTTAATTAGCTCACGTTGTATTAGAATATCTCGGGCAAATTTTTCAACAATTCATTTTTAATTGACGCATTAATTTGAATACAATTATTCTTGTGACAAGAGATGTCTTTACGATTCGGGAAATGTCACGTTAGGCAAAATTGAAACTGAGATTTTGACATTCGAATATCTCGGCTCGGAATTTTTCCAAGGGGAAGAGGATCTTCGTGCGTTTTGCGTATCGTAAATCCCGAAGTCGAGCCCGTGAAATCGTTGAAAAATTGCCATGGCGCACGTTTAATCCCAGCTTTTGGGCCGAATGTTCGCAGCGAGAGGGTGCAAAGGCCGATACGGCTCGTACCCTGAAATCTGCGGACGGGGCATTATCGCTCAGCATTCTCTCTCCCCAATGGAATCTGTCGACACGGCCCGTACACGTGTGTGCAGCTGCTGTAAAATCCTTGCCAGGGATCGCGCATTTCACATATACGTTCCATATTCGGGAGATCTATCTAGGGAAGCTGCAGAGAGGAAATGGCGCGTCTTACTCAGCGATCCGTGAGAAGTACGAGATATAAAAATTGATCCTTACATACCGATAGAGATCGAAGTAATCCAAGTGGGACTTCACATCCTCAGTATTATTATATTCCGATAAGCAAAGTACGATTCGACGATAACAACAATTGTAATATGATTATTTGTGACTTTTTCGAGAAATTTAAATTTTCATATCGTTTTTAATGCATTCAAATGTTGATCCTACAAGGAGAAAAATCACCCCCATTTTTTTTATATATTCAAAGAATAAGATAACGGGTGGGGGTTAGTTGGAGAAACTCGTTGCAAACTAGGATTTAAAATTTATGCCTCCCTTGTGCACCCTTCCCCGACCGCTGGCGATTGGTTCGCTCATTGTGTGAGACGAATACCATTGGGGCAAGATCGACTCGATTGTATCTCTCGCGACGTTTACCTCGAAACGTATTGCCTCGCGAAAGAGACGTGTATTTGCGTGTACACGTGTTCGGGACGCGCGTGAGGGTGCATTCGTTTATTCGAAACTCGATTTCACAGCTGCCGTAATTGAATTTCGAGTGCCGGCGCCGGATATGGGCGCGGGTGGGAACTCATAAGGCCAATGTCGAAGGCCGAGCTCGGCTTCTTCGAGTAATTGGATTTTGCGGGGTGGCGCGCGATGGACCGACCGTTAGATACCGAGACGTGCAGTTAGAAAAAAAAAGCGCAGCGGTTACGTTCGATTGATTATTGGTTGAGAAACATGACACACGTGATAATAACGGAGCGATTCTTTCTCCCTAAATGTGCTAGAAATCTCGAGAAAGTACGTTAGAGAGTCTTTTTGTAGCTTTCGAGGAGGTTGTTGATAAATTGAGTGAAGAAACTAGGGACGCGAAAATAGATTATCTCGAAACAGATGTGCGAGGTGTATTACTAATGCAACAGCGCCGAGGGAATACGAGCCGGCCAATGATGGTCAGTGGCAACCCTCGCTTTAGGGGGAGCAACCTAAAAATCGTCGCACCTGACCTCCTCAAAGTCCAGTCGATGTCTCATTTTCGGAAAATTTTATTTAGAAACTTTCGCCTATTTTGTTCAAATGCAAATCAGAGTGTTATTGTGTACGATTAGATTCTCTTTATGTCCCCTTTGTGAGGATTTGTATCTTAAATTATTCCACCACTCTTAAATTATTCCAACGTGCATGCTTAGTGCATACAACGTGCATAACAAAACTCGAAAAATGAATGTCAACCCTTAATTGAAATGATTAAAAGCTGTTAAAAGAGATTACTGTGAAGGTGAAAGGAAAGCGAAATCAATTTGTTTGTTCTCTCAATCTGTTCGGCGTCTATTAGAAGAGATGCCGTATGTACGAAGGTACAAGACTGATAAGAAGCGGTAGCTGAATGAACGAATGTATTTTTATCCTGCTTCCGAGAGAACGACTTCCTCCTCTCGCCAGTAATTCTGTGGACGAAGGAAACATTCGGGAAGGCGGGAGAATAAGATATCACGAATGGCTAGGGGAAACCAAATGCCATTCCGGTCTATCTGTATCTATCAGGATGCCGTTTAATCTCTCGAGTTCCCGATTGGCTTTAGATAAAATCAAGCTCTACCGCTGTTACTAATGTTTTAATAAGGCTTGCCATAAGTACCGTGGTAAATGGTCTCTTAATCCGCGCGAGATCGTAGATCCGAAGTGAAATAATTTCCACCGTGCTTTGCTTTCAGGAAGAAAATGTGGAGCTCGGTTACCGCGGCTGGCACTGAAAATGGACCAGCACCACCTTCGAGAAGCAAACACAGTGCCACCCTACTTGCCGGTCACGTATACCTTCTCGGGGGTCGAAATGGAAATCTACCTCTCAAAGATCTCTGGCGATACAGCCTCGGTGAGCCCTTTGAATTGTTGCGCTTATGTATCGGAGATCGTACAGAAATACTACATACATACCGCGTTAATCACCGTGTCTTTGATTATTAAAGCGCCATTGAGAAGCCTCAGAGCCTCACATACACGTTGCTTCGTAATTAGAAACGTAAGAAGAAGAAAATAATTATCGAGACGGCGACGCGGTAGTATTTCGAGTGGTTCACGAGGAGCACGAAATGATACGAGCGTCGTTTCTCGACCACCCCATCGCATCCACCGAGAGCGCACCCGCCCCCCCTCCCTCCCCATGGAACGAGGGTGCGCGACGGAATTTGAACGGGGCCTTCAGCCTGATCAATAATGCACCATTATTAAAGCCTACGTACATCAGCTAAATCCGCAGACGATACTCCACAATTACGTGGTGTTTCCACGGAGATCAGACATACGGTGAATTAATTGCATCCGTCGGCCGTAATCGGCGGCTTATGGTACGTGACAGGGAGAGATTTCCCTCGGACTAAAATAATGTTCCGTTGCTTTTAGCCGCCGTTCATCCCGAACACGAGGGGACTTAGTGTCTTATCTCGCTTCCGAACCGATTAATCTTATATATAACTCTTTCTGTCGTGTATCGTATTACCTTACAGATTAACAGAATTAAGGATCGATACGTTCCCTTGATACGAAAGATTATGAACGTCTCGAAGCGATCGCGAGAGTAGCGGTGATTCATGAAGTCAAGTGTAATCGATGTAGCGCGAATTCGCTTGAACGCATGAACGGGAACCCTCTTAATCAGAGGGCATTGTTCGGCAGCGTGCTTGTTCGCGGGTGAATATTGAAGAAGCAAGGGGGCGGAAGGGTTGGCGAGTAGCGCTTCGTTCCCTGGAGCAAACAATGTTCCCCGTTCTGTCCCCCAGTTTTGAAAGCCCAACACTCCGTCGCTCTATTTGATCTTGTAAAAATATTGTGATATCCCGAAGAGTTACAAGAGTACTCCGACGGAAACCTGGTTTTATTGCTTCACCGTCTTTTATCAACGGGAGGACAATCTTGAAAATTATTCTTGAAGGGACGTGAGAAATGTGAAACTTTGAAATTTAATTGGTAGAAGAAAAAAAAATGTATAATTGATCTAACAATCGTATTTTTATTTTATCACTCTTAAAACACTTATTATTATTCTTAAAGAAATAAAAATACTTTATGTTTATTAAATATATGTAATTATGTTATGAAATATATAACGCATATTCGCTTAAAATATTACGCGCAAATAATAATAATTTTTTTATAATAAATTATAATCAAAACTCTAAGTATCAAATTCTTAATAAGTTGACTATGATATGAAGAGAAGGGAGTTTAAGGGGAAAAATAATACACTGACTTATATACTTTTACCTTGTTCTTCTTCTTTATTTCTATATTTTAGCTTCTTACGAGCGCGTTGTGCTCTGCGCGAGACTCATAAGTCAGAAGTCCAGGATTCGAATCCCGATCCTGGCTGACAATATTTACGACGCTTCTCTATGGAGTCTGCCAAACCACCTAGAGTAACTCTGCCGAGAAAGATCCCTATATTGGCCGTTCGGAATCACCATAAAACTGTAGATCCTATATTTAAGTATCATTATTATCGTATATATAATCTAAATCTAGTAAACGGTAAAATTTTATACTATAACTTTTAAAAAATGTATAATTATTAAAATACCGTCAAATAGACTATTGTAATGAAATGAATGTTTTGGATATCTGAGGAAGCTCAAAGGCAAATAATGTTTCAATTTAAGCTAAAAAAATTAGTTTAATAGTGTTACTTTTATTATTAGATTAGTTATACATTTTTTTTCTTCAAATCAATTAAATTATCTTTCAAAGTTTCACATTTTCCTTTTCACATGAAATTCCAAGCAGAATATCTTTAATGTTCGCATTCATGTAGTGAAGCTGCTTATCGAGGCAAAAGTAGCTCTGGTAACTAATAAACTGTTTGCACAAAGCACGTATATCCACTCGTTTCGAAAATGCCGGATCTCTCGCGCGTCTCGAACACGTCGCAATTTCGTAGAACATGCTTTCAGACAAAAGGAGGTATTGTTCCACTGCCAAAACTAGATACGACACGTGTACTACGTAATCAATGTCGGGCATCTAGTATCATCATTCCAGCGAAGATGCTTCAGCCGGTCCGTTATGGCTCTTACGTAGGTCTTTGTTTCCGAGCACGTTTCGGGAAGCTGAAACTTTCGCGAATATTGCGGAATTGGACGATGATAAAGTGTCGTCACGAATGTCGTTTCACGAATCACACGTATTTTCATCCTCTCATTTATTTTTGAATACTTTAGTCCCCCTCAAAGTGGTTCCGGATGAATAAAGAGGACGCGAGACGGAAGGGACAGAACGAGGGGGTCGGGCGATGAAAAGAAGAATGCGGTATGAAAGATGTGAAATCATAAAGGAGACGACATTGATCATTCCAAATGATCATTCAAATAATAATTTAGTACAAAATAAATAGATAATACGATTTCGAGATGAGAAAAAGAAATCTAATCGAAAGCTTTTTGCGCCATCGTCTGGAACACGGGAATGAAATTACCGTGAGAAGGAGGCATAAAATCAATTCGATGCACGAACCCGAGAGGAAGTAATGATTGGCCCATGCAGTAATATCTCTAGATTCACTCCGATACCCGGCAGAAGAATATTTAGTCTCATTCATTATAAAAAAAAACGCAAATTTATGCGCTCCTTGAGCAAGCTTTTCTCTCGCTTTTATATCTTTTATATCTTCGCCGGGGGAGCTCCGCCTTCCTTTTCACGATAGTTTCGAAGGACGCTTCAGCTGCCTGTTTTATTAAGTGACCGGATACGCAAAAGATTTTTAATACTCTCTTCTCGTAAATTACCGTCATTATCGAGATCCAAAAATCTTTTCTCCGCTTCGTTCTCGTTTTGTTACGTATAACAAAAAATATTTAGCTTAATTATGAATCATGTGTTCATAATAATACAATATTCATCTGATATTAAGTTAAAATGCAAAGTACAGAATTTTATAATTGACACGTGAAAAAATATCACGTGTTATCTTGTTATGCTTGGAAGCGGACGCGGTTTTTAATCAAAAATTGAGATGCATACAATATGCATCCTGCTGCGGCAAAAGTTGGCTATGAAAATGCAACGAGAGTGCATCAGAAAAAAAAATGGACATCTTGCGCCCACATGCATTTGTGACATGTGCACTTTCCGTAATAGCCGCATCATAGCATCTATATACTCGGGATAAGAATGTCGGATTACGTGACAAGTCTCTCTTTGTTCCTTTTTCAGCGGAGAGCAAATGGGAGGAACTGCATCCGGGGGGCGAGAGGCCGCCGGCTCTCCAGGAACACAGCGCGGTGGCGTATAAGGATTGCCTCTACGTCTTCGGCGGTGAACTAGGTTTCTCCGCCGGCACGGAAACGCCACTCTGGGTTTACAACGTTAAGGTAATTACGCAAAATGCATCGCGAAATACGATACACCGGCGTACGTAATGCGCCTGCCGCCTGTCGCGTATGGGGGAAATTAAATTCGCGCGGGTAATGCCGCTCGGAGGACACTTGGACACTTTTACGACGATAAAAACATCGGCGTGTTCCCACACTTTCGATAACAATCGCGATAACAGGCGGCGTCGAGAAAGCCGCCGTTGAGAAAACTCCTAATGATCCTCCCCACGACGAGGGGAGCGTCGTCGAGGAGGCGGCGAAGGCGAGAGACGGAAGAATCGCATCCTCGAGAAACGCCTCGCTTAATCGATAGCGATGTCATCGATTACGAGGTTTTACGTGGTAGCGTGTCTTTCACTTTCTCTCGCCTACTGCGTGACGACGCAGAGGGATGGTTTCAGCAGCGGGTGACAAGCTACCAAGGGCGAGCGCGGCTTATCCTGCCAATAGCAACTCGCGAATTGAGCACGTGTAGAAATTCACCGTTGTCATCCCGTTGTGCTCCAAACAGAGTGTCAAGCGTTCTCCTTGGGGAGAATAATAAGCGCGACGCGAAACGAACAGCGACACAGGGGGTGGTTGGCCTCTTCCGGAGGGAGATAGCTCGCGTGCGGAAAATTTATCCTCTGAAATGAGCGGAGCTCGCAATCGATGTCGAGCTCGCAAACGAGAATGATCTAGCTCGGGCATCGACCAACCTGAGCTCATTTGAAAACAACATTTGTCATAATAATTTGCCTTTCCTACTATAAAAGATGCTATTACCGATAATATTACGTTGACTTCAATCTGCTGTTTTAACAAAGACTTTTGACAGAAGGTACACAGGTATGTTGATATGTCGTAATATATATTACATCGCTTATGATATTTTGAGAAATTCACTAAATAACCAAGTAATCAACGTAATCCTGAAGTAATGACATATTTTATTTATCTAGAAAGTTTAATTGGGATTGTAATCCAGAACCCGTAGATATCTTAAATTTAAGGGAAAAGGGAAGGCATCGGTGCGAGATATTGTCAATCAACTTTGACGCAGTTGTCCAATATTGCCCTTCATCTCGTTTACCAAATCGACGGGGTGCAAACCTTCCTTCTGATCATCTTCTGAAACAGCCATGGTAACTGCCCGGAGGCTACCCGGAGGCTGCCTGTCGTTTCATCTAATCAAACCGCATGGGTTGTTCTTAACTAAATCTTGATAACGAATTCAATTGCAATCCCGATAGCAAATTCTATTCGAAATGTACTACTTTCCCGTAAATATATATTATAAGTGTTCTAAATCAAATAAGAAAACTTAACTAATATGTAACATAATTATCAATTACAATTCAATTATTACAATTCATCTCGTGATCAAATTTACACAAGTCATCGGAAATTATCTCATGATTTCGTTGTAGCACATCGAATATTACGTTTCCTATCTGGAAATTGGATTTTCCGTTTCGACTTGGATATAATTTTACGTATTACGTTGTCGAGAGAATATCTATGTAATGCTTCATTCATATTGAGAGAATGACAGCAACAGCATCGACATTGATAATGACGAATGAGCTCTCGTTCTGATAGAACATGCTCAAGGTTTACCTGGCATTACTTCCAGTTTTGAAGATACAATCAGATAGTGATCAATCTTCAGAATATATAGCTGCAATATTGGATATTTCAAATTAATTTCAACTTGATATCCCAAGTAATCAACGATTGACGGATTGTGGCTTATGCAATAAATCTATGTAATTTAAGTTATCTTGTAATAACCGCATGTAAATCAAATTTAATGCGATTTTGATTTATGTCTCCTTTATGATAAAAACATCGCGAGGAAGATTAAACACTTTTCGGAGAATCTAATTTAAAAAGCGCTTTTAAAAGTTTGAAACAAAATATTATATTATATGTATACGTATGTAGCGTTATAAAATTTTATTCTTCATTCTTATTTCACTTTCCTTGGCGGCAGTGTTAACATTTTCTGATATTCCCTCTAATTTCATACAATATTCAGAGGAGTTACATCTTTCGCGGGACCTTCAAGGGCAATTTAAGTCGAGGGTGGTTTTTGGCAGCAGCTGGTGTTAACAGACTTTCTCTCCGATTCGTACCCTTGAAAACGAGACAGGGTTTCATTTTCCCAAGGGGTAGTTGCCACTCACGTGCGAGGCATTAAAAATTAATAAGCCTGCATCAAGCGTAGGATGCGAAACATATCACGCGTCATCGATTCGGCGTGGTATCGCTCACTTTTTCATTTATTACATCGGAAAGGTTGAACTGTCGACATTCTTTCTTTTTCATGAGATCCTAAATTTGTAAGAGGATATTGTTTTTTTTATTTCTGACTCTATCAACCAAACAAGATCGCGTCTAATCTCGTTCGTGTAAATACATCTGTGCAGAAATCTATAAGTTTTAACTGAACTTGCATTGTATGGCTTGATATATATATATATATATATATATATATATATATATATATATATATGATTGTATGAAGCGGATAGATGTGCTGGTCACACTGATTTTCCTTCGTCAGCAGTCGCTGATTATCTCTCTTTCATTCGATAGGTTTCATCTATCCATTATTCCGATCCTCTTTTACGTAGCAATTCATCGTACGCTCATTTTTTCGCTCTATCGTATTTCCTCTTTAAGTAAACAGCATTATTGGACTCGATAATACTGAATATATTTATAAATGTCCTGCTTTTTTGTGATGCTAATGATGCAAATTGATGCATTTTTTGTAAGTGATGCGTGATTAAATAGGAAATTTATAGACAAGACAGAGCTGTATCGAACGGGAGAACGCAGCCAGCTTTTTTTTTTCCAGTTATTTCATGTGTCCCGAGATTTTTTTGACTTGGGTTACCATGGCTACTCCTGATCCATTTGTTTTTAATCGTTGGACCATGGAGAAAAAACGGGAGTATCCCTCCAGTGTTTCTGTCTGTTCGCCGTGTATTATTGAAATCTGCGTTACGAATGCGTCAGGCAAACCTGATTGGCTAAGCCAAGGGGTTGCTCGACGCGTTTGTTCTCTCCCTATCTTTTTTACCTCCCCATCTCTTTCGCTTCTTTTCTGTACTTCGTTAAAACACTTGTGGTAGAAACGATACTTGTAGTAGAAACACTTGTTGTAGAAAATAGCATAGAAAATGGAAGGAGGCGCGCGTTCGCCGTAGAATCTTTTTTTATTTTTGTCTGGCAAATTTGGCAAGGAATTCTTTGGGAGATTCGTGAATGATAGTGATTATTCTGCATCTTTCCGATGATGAGTGATAAGATTAAAATTAGGATTCAATCTCTTTATCGATTTTCGAATTAAAATTTATATCTCGAAACATCTATTCAGCTATTTTCAAATATGACAAGATTCATAAGCATGACTCTAAATACCCAGCGGCTATATAAAATGGATATTTGTAGCTCCCTCAGAGAGCGGAACGGACGCCAGTAGCTCTTTTGATGTGTAGCAGCAATCACGATGAGGTCTTTTACCTCGCTCGGGGGTAGTGCCTATCGCAAGGCGTGCTGGCTTCCACGTCCCTATTGGGACGAGAGCGTGTCGAGAAACGACACACAGAGATAGTCGTTGCCGGCTAAGAGTGTCGAAAGTAATTACATAAAGTACGCGACTAAAGCCGATAGGTTGAAGCGAGTTGAGTTATCTCTTAGACGAGTCCGAAGATACAGCACGGGAAACTTCGGGTATCTCGTTTTCGTCAGCGTCTTTCGCGCTGAAGGAAGAGATCCTTTCGAGTGTATATTCCACGAGACAGTTACTACACGGTTCATTCGTTCATCTTTACGCTGCAATTCCGTGAACCATGGCATTTCGAAAGGAGAAGGCTAATGCGATTTTAAAACGCCGGTTGATACGCACGCCCGAATTTTCTGCTAGACCAAGCGATAAATCTCTCCGAGGGGAGAGGGCACGGTGTATTGATTTCATCGATATGTGTAAATATAATGGACACGCGAAGTAATGTTTTTTTTTTTTTTTTTTTTCTTGTCGACACACTTTTCATGGAAATTGTTCCAAGGTAACGGTATGGTAAAAATAAGTCTACTTAGATTTACCCTATCTATATAACGATGCTGAATATTCGCTTTCGTGCATATTAAGAATTGACGTCATAAACATTTTTTCGTACGCAGTAATGCAGTAATAAAATTTTTTCGTACGCAGCAATGCAGTAATAAAATATTTTTATTGCATAATATTACCAATGTTTAAAGAATTAAATTGATTAATTTTATATGCATATAAAATTATTTTGATAAAATGTTGTATACATTTTTGTTTATCTTCTCTTTCTGAAAACGCGTATATTTTTTATCATAATATACTACACATTATCGTTTTATAATACCTCGCTGGTAGCTTTACATATTGCATACATTCCTTCATCCAGCCGCGTGCTTTTCGCGACTGGATGAAAGCTCGAGTTATAAATGCGTTATCAAGCGTTTCAGCTCGAATATTCATATTCGGTGAATACCGGGTAGTCGCTTCGCGACTGCAGTAATTTTGTGCATGTTGCTACGTTATATCAGTGAAAATGTTTCAATTCGCGTAAACAAATATTTTTCACATAGAGCGAAATATTGATATCACTTAATATTTTATATATATTCTCAAGCTTACACAGTTTACAGTTTTAGCAAAAACGCTCTTTCTGTTTTCTCTTTATTAATATACAAGTTAAACTAACAAAAGCTAGTGAAGAATATGGTAATAAGAGAGAGAAAGAGAGACAGAGAAAGAGAGAGAGGGGGAGGGGGGAGAGAGAGAGAAATTATGCATAATAATGCATATTTGAATAGTCAATGTATTACACACACACATACACACGCTATACTATTGTAGGTGTACGTTTTGACGAATGAAATATTTGCCAGAATTCGCGTTGCAACTAGTGAGAGAATAATTTTCGCATCTCTATTCAGTGGCGGTGGCAAGGACGATTATCACAGCCCCCGAAGAATTAAAGCCGAACCTATTCAGATGGCAGAATTGGAGGGCCGCAAATTAGAGGTCTTTATCCCTCTTGTTGCAGACCGCCCTTATTTTATGTCATCCTCGCAAGTACTCGCGAAATATGCAAGTTGTGGAAATCCAGTACGTTTATGGTCGGAAAAACAATTTCTTAAAATAGAAAGAGGAATAATTTGTCGAGGGCCGAAAGGCTAAATAATCTGATTACAAATGATTATACGATGATTATACGACGATTTTCAGACGAATATATGGAGGAAGGTGAGAGCTCAACGAGGTTGCGTGGTTCCTAGAGGTCGAAGAGGCCACACCGCCCTGGTACATCGCGGACAAATGCTCGTATACGGCGGTTATCAAGATCTACGAGGCAGCTCCTCTGAATTATGGGCTTTTCATTTTGGTAATGGTCATTTTGTATCTCGTAAGTCATTCGATTAGTACGATATATGCGACTTCGATGTTCTGATATTACAGAAACTGAATCCTGGCACCTGCTTTCATCGAGTGAAAACGGGCCGGCTGCGAGACACAAGCATTCGGCAGTTCTGCACGGCGATGCGATGTACATTTATGGTGGAATGACGGATCTTCAAGAGAGGAACGATTGCTGGCGATGGGACGTTAATAGTGCTTCATGGTCGATGCTGAAAAACAAACCGGGTCCCGGACCTCTTCATGGCCACGCGGCGTGCAGATTGCCAAGTTGTATGTTGATCTTTGGCGGCGAGAGCGGCGGTTTGGCAACGAACGAGCTTTGGAGATTTCATTTCGGTGCGCACTATCGTTGTAGTAGAAAATTTTCAAATATATAATGTTATGTAATTTTTATAAATTAGATTATTATTTAAATATATTTCAACAGGCACGGAGACCTGGGAGAAGTTGTCGGTACCAGGACCGAAACCGCAACCGAGAGCCGAAAGCGTCGCTCTCGCGGTATCCGAATTGCTGATTCGCGGAACAAACATAGACAATTCGAAACCGAGGCCGAAGAATCAGAGGCCTAGACTTTCGAGCAACAGAATATCGCCAAGCGAGGCTCCCTCCGCCAGACCCAGCTTTCTCAGAGAGATTTCGAAATTGTCGCAAATAAATCTGTCGAGGCTCAGTCATCCGACAAAGTGCAGTTATTCGGTTCTCAGTGGACAGGACGACAATGAAGAAAGCCCTCAGGAGGTGCGTACGTCCACACAAGTTGCCCGATTGCTTTCAATAGATGTGCCCTTATATGCCAATTAGGCCTGCACGCAGGCAAACACGTATTATCCTTTTCAGCAAGTGGACGTCGAGGTGATCGAACCCTCCACGGGGATGGTAAAGTCTCGCAGCGCCAACACGCTGGCTCGCCGAAGGCAGAAAGTGTCGGAGGGAACGACGAGGACGGTTGACGTTAGCAATACTAGCAATACTACCACTTCTGGTATGACCAGAGATCCTATTTCGGTGCCAAACTTTCGTGCTTTGACGTTACCAACTCCTGTACTCACGCCTGTAGAGGCCGCTCGATTGGTCTTCGTTGATCCGGATGAGAACAGCGACAATGAAGAGCGCAAGGAGCCGCCCACGTCGAGACTGATTGAAGTTCAAGAGGAAAGACGGTAATTGTCTTTACGAGATGACGTAATCGGTAATTTGTTTGATGTTAAGCTTCCTATATCCGTTGTGCGTTCGTGCAGAGATTTCGCAGCGGTGCATCAAGCTTGCCAGCCCACCCGCGGCGAGAGTTACAGCTCGCATCTTTACGAAGCGGCTCTGCAAACGCCGAAAACTCCGACGACGACAAAGATCCCGACTTCCGCCTCCGTTCGGTTCGCCGATCTCGAGGAGGGCGAAGAATCGACGTCGGACTACGCGAGTATCGAGGCGAGAAGTCCGGGCGATCCGCTCGCGGACGACGACTGGGTGTCCGGAAGAAGATCGAAGCCGCACAGGCCGATCGTCACCTCATCGACGATACGAGAGGGCCAATTTGGTTTCTGTAATCCGAATTACCTTGGTTTGGACGAGACGAGAACCGGCCACCACCATCACCATCATCATCATCATCAGCAGCAGCAGCAGCAGCAGCAGCAGCAGCAGCAACAGCAAGACGGGAAATATGCCAAGTTGCTCAACAGTCCGCCCGATAGTGTACTGGAGGATGAACCTGGAAGATCGGCTTCGCAGACATTTGCGGAGTTGTTGGAACTTCAAGAGATCAGGAGGGTGCCCCGAGCGCCACCGAAGAGTTTGCCGCTGGGTTCGCCGTCGAGAAGAGCGGTAAGCGCGTCGAGGGCTGAGAGGCAGAGGGCGAAGGTGGCGGCGGTGGACGCGACCGACGCTAAAACACCTTCCTATGGGCCGGCACCTTTGTACGTTTTTTTAGTCGGCGGCAAAGAAAAGGGTCAAGTCACGGTGTTCGCCAGGCCGGTCTCTCTTTGGAAGCTACAGCTCGCGCCGCATATCTTTTAAGGATGATCGATGGTCCACTTTAGTTGAGTCATCCGCGCACTGTTAGTGATAAGAAGAGGCACGAGAGGATCGACGACTAAAGGGAAGCATTCGTGCAGTCCAATTTTTTCCAAGTTGCTGTGGTATTTTACTAATATTTCTTAATGATGAAGTTGATACTTGAGGGGATCAATTTTTGTTTATTCTTTATTTGATTGTCGACATTAAAGTTGAATGTCGTTAATTTTATATGTGTTCTTCGTTATAGAGCGAATATGTCTTCTGTCTATAAAAATGATTACTGAATGTAATTGTTGACTTCTTTCGTTCGTTAATGTTTGTTATTTGTTATTACTTGATACTTGCGTTACATTTTCTGCATTGTATTATTAATGCCCAAACGATAAGAAATCGAAGAAAGAAGTATCGTATAACACGGCAAAACGTAGCTATTCTTTCTGAAAAATGCCATCGATGTATCAACGCGCAATATATATTTAGAGAAGTACATTTTAAAATATATTAAATTTTTATCGTGCAGGAAAGTAATCTATAATAATATAATCGCTGATTAGGGAAGAAATATAAAGATCTTCACTTTTGATTTAATGTGCCGATATAGATAAATAAATAGGTAATAAAATATCTACATAAAACCATGATAAATTTTTAGGAAATTATTTTAACAAATTATTTTATTATACATCTTACATTTCTTTACTTTTAACATTTGAAATTGTAATTTGAATTTATTAATCCACAATTAAAAAAATATAAGAAGTTATTATTACATTCAAATTTTCCTTCTTTAATATAAAAAAATTAACATTCTTCTATTTAATTGGAAAAAAATGTCAAATTAATATTAATGTATGTGAAAAGTGTGTGTTGAGTAAAATCGAAACGATATTTGCGAATCGTGAGTTCATATTGAACCGGCCGATTCAAGTGAGTTCTCAATGTAAGTTTTGTAAAAAGATGAATGTCGAAATAGAAGCGCAGATCAAGTCGACGATCGATTCTACTGATCTTTAATAATTAATTATAAAAGCGCGCTTTATTGAGATGTCGCGTCGCAATCCTATATTACCGCATCCGTCTTTCACTTTACGATACGTAATTTATTTATATAGGATATGATAAGGATAGGATAAGATGCGAAGCTCCCCGATATCGCCAGAACTTCGAGTTAGTTGCAGGTAAACGTCAGAAAGCTGCAAAATCGACTGGCCTGATCTGCGCTCTAACTGCCGTCGAATGTGAAAATTCAATATGAAATTTGAAATAGTATTAATGTCAGATGCGTAAGCTTAAAATAGTATAGTTTCGGAAATGTATAGGATGTTTCACAATTTGCGCCTACTAATTACATAACATTTACAATTACGTACTATTCCTTTGCTAGAGGTAAAGCGCTGATTTTTAGACGGACGTTACTTAATGATGTCTTTAATGATGTCTGCATTGAGCATTGAAGAAAAAAGAAGGAATTACAATTTTTCGATTCGTTTTTTTTTCACGAAGAAATGGCAATAGTGTAATTAGCGAACGTAAATTATGGGACACTCTGTGTTCAAAGACGATCGACTCGTGATTGTTCCATTTTAGAGATTACTACCGACCGATTCTTCTATTCTGCAAGATAGATAGATTTTTATAAAGAAATTTTAACTTACTCTTATTCGCGAGGCAAATCGGTAGACCGTAATTCTTTAGCGAATCAAATTTATTGTTCTGAATGACTGGAAGGTAACCGAAGAAAATACGAGAGAATTATTGATCTCAAAACTAAAACGTTATGTATATGTGGATGTCGGAAATTTAATAATAATCTCCATTCGCCAGTTTACACTTGAAAAAAAAAATGTTTCTAAGATGCCAACAATGCTCTACATTCAACAAATCGTTCGCTCCCAAATACTCGCCCTTGATACTTATTAGTTTCGATGTAATTTAATGATATTAAGATATGAAGACAAAACTTTGTTTACTAGTTGTATAAATTAATTATTATTTACTTCGTAATACGATATTAACGTAGCAAAGCACAATTCTATTTTTTTTTCTTTTTTTTTTTTATATGTATATATAAATTTTTTTCTAAAAATAGCAACTCTTTCACAAGGCGCAAGAATTTAGGAGTCGTCATAAAAGTCCAACGGAAGACAATTGTGTTCGAGGAGAGTACAGTTTGCTAATGTCAGCGGTCTCATGTCGAACCGCCGCAGAATCGCGAATCGATAAAATCGAAAGTCTTTACCGTGATTGTATCTATGGTCGTAGCAAGTTAGTTTTAGTGAGCGTATATTGTAAGTAGAACAAACAATGGCGAAGTTCGATGGGAGCTCTCTTCGTTCGTGTAGAATTTTTATGCCCGTAAAGGCCCAACACATGTAATCCATCCATAAGTAGCTAAGGTCGACGTGGCTTCTCAATGGGCTAGATATTGAGAGATGCTTGTACGATTGATCTTCTGAAAAGGAAACACTCAAAATGATCTCTCTCTCTGTTACGTTAATTATCGTTTATTTACCGTAGGACGCAATACGCAGATATAATAATTTTTAGCAATTGTGGGCAAGTGCAATACTAGAATATTATTTATAACATCGAGGGAGTCGGTTGTCAAATGGTCAAAAATTAAGATTTATTACAAACATCTTCTGGCTGGTTTAAAGGAGGAGCGAGTTACATATTGCGAGCTTTGGGACGAGCTTTGCAATCATTGCTTGTTAATTACGAAAGTTCCGTAAACGTGAAAAGGGTTGCTCAAAGGAGGGGTCTCTTTCTAAGCAAGGGGTCTCCTAATATCTAGTCTCGAGCCTCGAATACCCGAAAAATCAATGTTTTCCATTCGTAGATCTAGTCAATTACATCTCAGTGTACAAAAAAAAAAAACTTAAGCTAAATGTTTTCGTCAACCATCTCGTCACTTTACTGCATTTACCCTCGTATAGACATTTCTCACCATCCCGCCCTCCATCAATATTCCGTTTTCCACGATGTTTAATGAGTCGTCCGCCGTTTTTACCATTAGACAAGAGTTGTTTCTATTTCTGTAATGCACATCTTCATTCCCATGACCGCCCGGCCACGAACAACGATTTCGTATACACCTTCCTTCCCACGATCATCCGGACACGTAACGAAACGATTACGCGTTATAATGATGCGCCAGTCTCGGAAGAGAGGGACAAGCGGCGAATTTTACACTGCGTAGGAATCAAAGAAGCGGAAATAAATGCGTAAACTAGCGTACTCTTTCTCGTAAGCTTTGAACGAGCCCATTCGGGGCCGTCGCCGTGCGAATTAAAAGAGGCAAATCCTTCCTGTACCATATTTACAGAGCGCGATATTTTTTCAGAGAAACCCTCCCCGGATAGAGAGAGATGACTCTTGTTCTTAATTATTTCTATATGTTTAACATCAAGACAATATATACGCGAACGTGTATCATAGCACGAAGCACCGGAAATACAGGCAGAGACCAGCCGCGCAGATACATATTTTTATATATTTATTTCCTTCAGCTTTGTATCTTTTTCATAAATTTGAAATTACTGCCCGTACTGAAAATTAGTAGTTTCGTGACAAGTGTAAGCAGAAATTATTATATTAAATAAGTCTCAGATAAGCAAAATAAATGTATATTTCTTTAAGCGAGATTCTTTGCAAATTCTGAATTTTATTACTTGGTGACTGCGATCTGTCGATATTTTCGATGCTTGATACATGTTTAATTTAGACAGTTCTCTATATGTGGACAACATTATGTTAGATTAATTATCCTGCTGAATTGGACGAATGCGTTTATACATAATGCAATGCGAGCGTAATCAATGTTGTGTTCATTACCCTTTCCAATTTGAATGTCGATGCGAAGGTGCGCGCCTGATGAATCTCGGCTCTTTGGTTCGTGTATAATTGATCTTCGATTGGTAATCAACGTATTTGGTTCATTATCACATTGTAATTAATGTAACAATTATTAATGGAACAGTATTACTATGATTAGAAAATATACTATATATAATTCGATAATATCAGATCGCAATGTCTGATCTTATTATAATTGTATTTGATTTTTCCCCACTACTCCATTTTTGTATCCCGGTGAATTAACACGTTCTATTTCAAACGTAACTACTTATATTTCACATGTAGCATATTACATATAATTTGTAAAAATACATCTGAGAAAAACATTGTTCAAAACAGCGTTTATTTTTTTATACAAATTATTCATTCGTTTTTTTTTTTTTTTGTGTAAAAATAATTGTGCAATTAGCGTAGTTTATTGTCAAATAAGTGTTGTCTTGAATTGTTACTCTTAATTGCTTATATGTGGATATAAAGAAGATTAATCGATTTATTGATTTTCTGAAGACTCCAAAAGTGAAGATATATTAGAAGATGATAATGATGTTACCGACTTTTGCCACAACTAAGTGCGTAATGCTACGGATTATTGTAAGATTGCAGCACTAGTCTTACTGATGTAAAGGAAGTAGATTTGAAGTCTAAACTACTTTCAAAACTTCTTACTTTATAGTTAGGTTTTTTAACTTCCCCTCTGTATAATTTATTTCGATTAATTCACATTCTCTCATTCTTCTCGTTTCATCTTGTATTCTTCCTTTCTCCCGTCTGTTTGATGCATACAATTTCGTAGCTTAGTTTTAAGTTCCTTAGTATAAGATAATTCCTTAGTATAAAATAAGTTCTGTTAATTATCAGTATTACTCGTAAATTAGAGCATAATCTTAATTAATATTTTAGGCTGTTACTCGACACTGTTCATTTTACACTATATTTTATTAGAACTAAGTTACTTATTATATTTTTAAGAAGGGCTGTATGATCTCATGGCCAAGTCCGATACCATATGTACTTTTCTTTTTTAAAATAAAAAAAGGGAGCAGATAAGATATTAGCAGATTGATCAAAGCTTACCTATCGAATTGGGATACGAAGTGGTCCAAAAATCTAATTCTACATCCCAATTAGACACAGATATTCAATACAGAAAAAAGAAAAAAAGAAAAGGTGAAAGAAGTAGAAAAGGACTAACTGAACAATTATTAAAAGAAATTTAAATGTTCATTTATGTGTAAACATTGTACAAAATATAAATTTAATTAAAATATAACTTAAGATATAAATATAATAAAATATAAATGTAAAGAAAGAACACGTTCATATGTAAGATTTACAATTTAATTTAAAAAAATTGCAGCTCTAATAAGTTCATTTTTGTCATTTTTATAATAATATGTATATGGAAACATTTCGAAAAGTTTCTCCTAGGAAAAAGAGAGTGGGTGATATCCTCGAATTGATCTAAAAATCGCCGGTTCCCATCGTTGGCAGATCAACCGATGATAGACCCGTCGACATTAGGGCGCAAAGGGCGCATATAGGTTCATAGGGCGCAAATATTCTTTCTTACTCGGGTACACAAAAGTCAAATTGCGTAATGAAATCGCGTCACAATGGCGGCGGCACGCTTTGACCCGCGGTCATTCTCACGGCCGGGGAGAGTCAAGGC